AATTTTGGCAAAATATGCAACACAACACCAAGGAGAATGGGATACTTACTTAGCCTCAGCTTTATTTGCATATCGAACAGCACAGCAGGGTACTACAAAATATGAACCCTTTGAATTATTATACTAATGACATATGACACTATCAATAGATTTACAGATGCAACACCCTATTACTACACAGAATTTACCGAAAACCATAGAACAATATTATCAATTAATCACGACACAATTACAACAAAGGCGACAAGATGCACAACAGAACATTATAAAGCAACAACAAAAGTAAAAGGAACGTTACGACCGGATACATAAGGGAATAGATTATCAAATTGGAGATAAGGTTCTATTATTTAATGTTGTACAAGCACACATACATGGTGACAAATTCAAGGATAAGTTTGATGGACTCTTCTACATACATGATATTGTATGACCGGGTACATATAAATTAAGAACTATTGACGGAAGAGTTAGGAAAAATCCAACATATGCCGATCAACTCAAACCTTATCTTGAACAAACCAATTGGGAACCACAGATTATAATTGATGATCTACCTCCACAAATCTAATAAAAATACTGTAAAATTGTTCAAGTATTGAACAAAATGGAATTTCCAACTATAAGCGATCTTATATTGCAAGAACTACAAAAACTTCTTTTAGAAGTAATGTTTGAACCAACCCGACCATATACCTCCAATATGACCGTAGATGAGAAAGTTAAAAGAACTTACCGTTCACTCTTGAAAGCTCGACGAGTGAAAATTCGCATCTTAACTTTACTTAATGCCTTTTTCTTAGAACAACTTATTAATGACGATATTACACCTGCTCAACGAACTTTGCAATGTCAAACAATGACCAGTCATTATCATCGAAGTGCTACTCGAGTATATCATTTATTTGAAACTTTCGGTACTCAACAAATCATGGTAACTCAAATTTTGACATTAACGATGGTTAAAACACTCAAGTCCTCTGAATTTCAAGACCTCCTTTGTAAGGCAATGGAAATTTCTGTTGGTACAGAAATCTTAAGCG